TTCAAGAGGTCACAGTTGCTCCATTGATGTGCATAGCTTATTGTCACATATCAGTTATGGTAAGTTGTTTTCAGTTAATATGAGAATTTAAGATCATTTACATCATGTTTATATCTAAACCTTTTTGGTTTTTCCTTGGTGGTAAGTTGTATACTTTAAATTTCACTATTTTATCATCAACATGATGTTTATCAGTTAATTTGAACTACAGATATATTTCATATGTTTTATTTGTTTGAAGTGCTTATTTGATTATGTGCATTTTATTGATATACTTGTTATACTTTGACTCAATGTCAGTCCATTTTACATTCTGTAATCTTATTCATTTTGTGAAAAGCATATAAAATACTGGATTTATTTCATCACAGATAAATAGCTAAATTGTTAAATGATTTACATATATTTTTTTCATTTTATATTTTCAATGAATTCTTTTTTTTTTGTTTTCAGGTTGAAAAGGACAGTAAAAATTGTGGAAAAAGTATTGGTGATTAAAAAGTAAAAATTCACACGCAAAAAATATCCAGATATTGTCAGAAAGCATAAGATGTTGGGATGAAGTGTACATTTAAGACAATGAAATAAAATTCATGTCTTCAATTTTGCATTTTTTATTGTTTATTTCAAACATGTATGTATGCACAAAAAAGGATTTATATCCTAAAACACCCCGGCCCAAACAAGGCGGGGGGTCTAAAAAAGAGGTGCCCCCCCTAAATATTATCATCAGATTTTTTTACATATCAACTATATTCCATCCACCAGTACTGGAAAAATATTGAACTTGAAAAAAATGCGTTTACGTATTATGTATATCGTTTCAATAACTTGTATTTCGTTATAATGAAAAAAATTATATCTACTGCAAGTTTAATCACGCTACATGATAATGTTTAGTTGTATCCATTCTAATATATTCATTGTATTTATCTGTTCTGAAGATATGTTATATTTGCAATCCTTGTAGACCGTTTAGCAAGGCCATATTGTTGTAATTGTAGTATCAAAAGGGATAATAATTTTCTCCTTGATGTAGATATAGACCTCAATCTGATTAAAATCAGCTCCTAAATAAAGCTATGCATCAGGATCTGACGATCAGCAATAGGTAATCACCTTCTCATATCCTTTAAAATAGCCAATCATCGGCGAGCTTTCATAATTTTGAAAGCGATGCGGTTTCTATTTTTAACAGATGAAAAATCAATATTGAGTAGGTAATTTTCACTGTTTTCAAGAACAAACATGGGGTTGTGTATATAGCCGGCAGGTAAACTGGCAAAGAATCTTGACCATAAAAATGAGTGTATTATTTCGGGTTTATTTGTTTCATATAATTTCAAACATTGTTTTTCTAACAACAAACAACAATTTGTTTTACCCGTCACAGACACCGACATTTTAATATGTCGTCTAATGCCTACCTTTAAAGAACGGTTTGATTGCATTGTAAAAAGTTTCTTGGGAAATCCGAATCACAATGAAGGCGAAACAAATACGGTAGAGATCAGGGTAAGTTCTATAAAATAATTTAAGCTAAATACATGATCTAAAGTCGAGAGCATTGTTCTAAAGCCAGTTTGATTAACATGAATAATGTTTCTACAAATTTGGTTCTCCTTTCATTTAAATCTGAAGTACAATAATTTCCTGTAGTATTCCGGTAAGTCAGTGTGACCATTTCCGTTAAATATAGAGATAATAAAGCCTTCTAAACAAATATAAGGAAAAATGCCTGTATAGAATATTATGTTAAAATGTTTAGTAAATATTGCGAATATAATGTACGCTGTAGATTTAATATGTTCGTTAAAGATATTATCCGGCTTGCTTGCTGCTTTACCATTTTTACATTTTTTATTCAATTACAGATATTATTTTCCGTCAATCAGTCTCATTAATTTCAAATAGGTTTGAATTTTTAGTGACTATTTAAGTATTTCCAGTTTAATTTGGTATCTGATTTCAGCATTTTTCTTAGCTTGGCCTGATTGCATAACGTATTCATGTAAATTTAAATTGCATGTTTATAGTCTTTACTTGCACGGTTGAGTAGACATCGATTATCATCAGATTCATTTGCTCGGTTATATTAAACTCGGTTGTTACGACAGTGAGGCTCGTACCAGAGTTTATTTTTTTTTATTTTTGACCTACATGTGCCCTTCCTACTTACCTTAATGTGCGAATTAGCCTTAGTAAAACAACTTTGGCGGATTCATTATTAATGTTAGTAATTTCCTCACGATTGAAAATTAGTTAAAAGGTATTCTACGTTCGCTTCCTTATTTTAATAAATTTTATGAATAAACTTGCTTTTTCTACTGTTTTGCCATTCAATCGCGTTACTATTAGCAGTCGGGCTGTTGACACCGTTGCTATCACTTTTTTAAAGCTAATGTCTAACAATAACGAATGTTCATCTGAGAAAATACAATCTACTTAATTAATTTTGAAATCGTTAAAGTATTTCAAAATATTTGCGGACGAAATAGTATAATTTTACTAAAACAATGGTAACGGTCTTTAAGCTCTTAATGCTTTCATGTATAATTATATCAAAAGATAGAAAATCCTAAACCTAGCGTTCTTTGCAATCTATTTGACTCCTTTGTTGCAGCTACTCTCAATTATGGATGTGAAATATGGGGTTTTAAAAATCGAAATAAATTAAACGTATCTAACTAAAGATTTGCAAATCCCAATAGAATGTTAAACGTATTTGTAAAGTTAAAGGAGAATTGGGGCGTTAACGACTTTATATAAATAGATGTGTGCGTATCATTCAATGTTGTTGCAAAATATTAACATCTTCTAATATATTTAGCAAAATCATCTTCTAATATATTTAGCAAAAATGTATGAATAATTTTGTAAATATAAAAATAAATGCGCCCATCAAGTAAAATACAATGTTACTGTTAGATTGTTATGTTTTTATGTTTGGAACAATCTTTTCTGTTCTGTTTATGACAATGCGAATTGCTGTCAGTTTGCCTGTTTGTGTCAATGATAAACGAGTTTAAACCAAAAGGATTCTTTTGCTTATTGAATTGCAAGGTAATGTGTTTCTTTATCAAAATCAGCCATTTTTAAATCATTATCAAAATTAAAAGTGAATTATGTTCGAACGAAATATTTTCTCGAGTCGATTCTATACACTGTGTAAAGATTATATGAATATTTTCTATAGTTTTATATATTAACTTGCATTATCATACATAAATTTCTAATTAGATCTTTTAATCAATGATTGTGTTTATCAATTTGTCTCTAATTTAGTTTTTACTAATAACACCTAGAAAAAGACAGGTAGAATTACACATGTTTTCTACAAAGCAGTTTGTAATGACATATAACCATTCCGTATAGGCTTTGACTCGGACAAGTTGTAAGAATATCTGGAAAAAAGTGATCCCACGGAGGCATTACAATCAGCAAAAGAGCATTACAATTGCAGACTCGGTTTGTTTGAGTTTGCGTATAAGGGATAATGAAAAAGTGAAACATTCCTTACACCCCTAACACCGGTTTGAGCGGTACTTAATCTTCAACACTTAATGTGTTGGAATCAATGATCCCGAAGGACCAGAAAAATTTAACTACACAGAACTGAAGTACGGGGCAACTTTCTCCGGCTGCCACACGGCACTTGACACCTATTGTGGAGATGTATAAATATCTTGAAAAAAGTGAATTAACCCGGATAGTGATTAGCAATTATTTTAACATCTCTTTATTTTGTTCACACTTAATTTGAATTTATATATTAGGCAAAAATAATTGCATTAACATATTTTATGCTACATAAATTTTCGTATATGAGTAAAGTCATCAAATATGACATAATGAACAACCTATCTATGCAAATGCATAGAAAGTAACATTTAGATTGAAATCAACGTGTTATTTCTCTAAGGCGTTTCTTTATACATTAAAATCATACACATACCTCTATTCAACTTCAAAGAGATGATCATATGACTTTACGATATTAAACATATTTTTTAAAGAGCTTTAAAATATATAACGCACAAACTGGTAACCATATAGAAAGTTTACCATATATCGAATAATTTACATATTTTGATAAATAAAGCTGTGCTCTATCAAATAAAGACGTAGTTTTAAATCAATTTAAAGTAAATTCAAAATGATGAATGTGCAATCGGCCTTGTCATGCAGTTTGGCACGTGTAAAGTGTTGTTATGCATTAATGTTGGATGCATTCGTTCAATATGACAAATTAGTTAATTCTCAGTTATGAGAAAAATGTAGTTTTATTTCGAAAAGTTTTAACCAACGATAAAAGGTTACATGTTCTGTGTTTTAAATTTCTATTAGGAACCCTTTATTGAAGTCAAATTTTAGCATCGCCATACACTTCATTGTACAATAAAGAACAAAGTTGGCAGTATAACAATTTCATGAAACGATTTATAACATATTTATTATATACTTTTAAAGCAGCATCTCTCCAGAAGATAAAAAAAAGATATTTTGCTGTACATAATTTCATAATCTCTCTTCAAATAAATCATATATTTAAAAGCAAATCAAAACATCGCTTTTAACGTTAATATTCCGGCATTTTTGTTTGGAAACAAGCAGCCAACCTTTCCGCCATCTGAATATTTCTTCTTTTTTATACTATTTTCAGTAACACGCTTTTTCTGACGATTTTGTCAACTTTTATTTTTGAATAAAAGGTCAGTAATAATAGATTTACACATAAAACCCAACACAATCAGTATTAACAGTTTAACTTGACATTTTATTTTATCTTTCTCTTCGTAAAAAAGTTTGCACAGGATTTTGCTGTAGTCTTTGAAAGCCACAGTGTACCAACTTATTTATATCACTAAATTTAGAAACAATATCTAGCCATTTCCCATTGCTCGTAATGATCCAAGTAGTTTCATGCAGGTTAAATCTGTCATATCTCCATTTGTATTACCTTTATCAAAACATCTTTTAATCTCGTATGACCCTTGCAATATGAAATAAAAGAAAAAGTGAATTTCTGTTTTATATAAGGAGGATGGGCAAGGAGGCAAACAAATTATTAAAGGTTGAATATACAAGAACTTTAATGACAACTATACTTCCAATCGGTAAAATTAATTTTTTCTTCCTCATTTAAATAGTGAAAATAGATTCTGCTTCTGCAATTTTAGTTTTGTAATTTCATTCTAGCATTTCTAATAAATCTATATAAAACTTGAAGCCAAGTATGTCAAAGCTTTGCTGATTTGATGAAAGTTTTCATTCTGTTTTTAAACTATTTGCACCAAATTTTTAATTTTCCAGACGTCTATAATCTAATCAAAATAAACGTTCAAAGCTGACATAGAAGTAGGCTCTCAAAGTTCCGGCTAAAGCTGTTAACGAACTTGTTGTTTAATTTCAAAATAGGGCAATTATAATAAGCAATGTATGAGTACCTTCATTAAAAATTTACATGATTATTTATCAGATTGATAGCCTTTCATATATCCCCGACTTTGATATTGATACAAGATCCATGTCATCTGCAACTGTAATTGGCCATATAAGCAAAATCTACGTTTAATAGACATCCTCATGACCCGATAAGCCCATATGAACAGTTATGTATAGACTCTTTTAACGTAAAAAATTCATTATACACTAAGATGTTTTTAAAAACCTCCTTCCCGTGAGGTAATAGGGTTTAATTTCTCCTGTCAATAAAGTTAATTACATGTACTTTCGTAAAGATGAAAAGTGCAAACCACTGTTATGGTATGTTGATTATTTTGATTTTCCTTTCACTTCCGCCACTGGCTGGTGTACAGTATTGAACCAGAAAGGTTCAAATTGATGTTAATACTGCCTTTTGTGAATAGCTGAATGTTATTTTCAAATATGTCATACGTCATTATTACATCTGGGGCATAATTAACGTATAGCCCTGCTAATTGTATACCTCAGCTTTGAAATGTAACTGGCAAATGCATTAAAATGCATTTAATAGTATTTAATTTCAATGATATAATAATTACAGGTACTATTACTTGGCTAAATAATGCTAGATTTATTAACACATATTGAACCTGATATTTTCAAGTCAAATAAAATCAAAACTGAACTGTAAACATATATAATACTTGACAATATCAACCAAAATACTTTTGAGAATATTTAGGCAAACAACTCCTCATTTTGTAAGTTTTAAGGAGAGGAGATATTAATTAGGTTCTATAAGTAGTAAAATTGTCAAACAAAAGTTAAAAATGGGTAAGGTAGGATAACAGTTTTATATAATATATATTATATATTCCAAACATTTTGAGAAGAAAAATCATTTTGCTTCCCTGATTTGCTAACAGAATGTTATTAATTGTTTCTTAATCAATAGGAAAACATTTTCCATAAGGATGATATTATAGATAATTTAGAGATTCTTCATATCTCAAAAAGAGTCCTTCTTATATTCAAATTTTTGTTCACAAAAGTGTTCATTACTCGTTAATCGTACCGTAAATAGTGTTTATTTTTGACTTATGGTGTTCTTTAAGGCACATAACGGACCTATTTTGTCAATTATTCATTTCCCTTAAATGCCAAAGATATGTCCAAATATCACCAAACTGTCTGAATTCATCTTAAGAGTATAAGTGATAGAACAAGAGCGTATTTTGTTGGATTCACTGTGATTACATCATCAATACTGATGCTAGCGCTGTGTTCTGTGTTGGTGCTTTTTGGCGCGTGTATATTTGCCTTCAAAAATTAACTATTTCTTTCTTTTTTATCGGACGTATTGTTATTTTATACTTCCTTTTGTTATCTGACACATTTCTATTTTTTCACATTTTCCATCTTTCCATTTTGCAACATTTCCTTCTTTTTCTATCACGTTATCTGCTATTTTATTCATATTTCAGATGAATACTCTTGTCTTATGTTTTGTTGCATTGTGTATATGTACACTGAAAGCTGAAGCTGGAGGTGAGGATACATGTGGAACTCAATTGAAAGAGTACAAAGGACAATCAAGGTATTTTAAATAACTCAAATAACGTCACACACAAAAATACGCATGCGCGCACTCACACCCTTCACGCATACATACACACAAATACGCCTATTTCAATATTCGTCCAAATAGAAATTAAAAAAGAATTTTTTAACATTTAACATTATATCGTTAAACGATATCCTTGTACAAAACACATAAATAACTTTGTTGGTGCATTGCAATATCTCAATGGATTCTCTATTTTTCTAGGATTGCCCCATCTATACCAAAGAGTCATTTGACAATACTTCTTTTGCTTGGGTTTGGCGGATTTTCTCTTCTTATTGCCCGTGGTTACAAGTCACTCCGCAAGTACGTGTTTAAAGACGATCAACATCTTGATACGGTATTTGATGCTGGTGGTCGTGTAAGCTTTAGTTTGACAGCAGTAACTGTGACGTCACAAATGTTATGGCCGGCCGACTTTCTTCAAAGTTCAACACTTACAAGCAAGGTATGTATTAAAAGTTAATTCAGTTCGGCATACCTGTTTCTAGCAACAAAAAGTGGTCCGATGAAGTACAAACAATAAGACTTAAATATCATATTTTACTTTTTCAAAATGACACTTTGTTAGGTAAAACAAAAATTGTTTTCGACATGAGTACAAGTAGATAGCTAAAAAGCCGCTTCTAATAGATATCGATGTCAAAAAACGACATTTCTAGTATTTATAAAAATCATAGAACTACGCTTTTCAATATGTATAGATATTTTAGACCGACACTGAGGAATTATGCATAGCTTAAAATGACATTTGAAATAAGTATAAATATACCAAAACGACATTTCAAATATTCATAAATATCCATGAAAGACACCTTTGAAATGTATATAACTAGAACCGAACCTTTATATATTCATATATAGCTCAAAACGACACTTTAGAATACTAGAAGCTATATTTAGGATGTGGGTTTATATATAGCTATTGACAGTGGACGTCCTAATAAAGCTTTAAATATTTAATTAAAATGTGTCATTCTTTGATATTTATGAATAAGATATATCAAAGAACAATTAATAATGTACCTATAAAAATCATGTAATGTAATATCATGTAATACATATAGATATCCCAGAACGACATCTAAGATATGAATAACTATTCTAGAACGACACTTTTATTAGACGCTGCTTGCAAGCGGCGTCTAGTAGATATACATTTGTCCATACAGCAATGGGGAAAATTTTAGACTTGATTTTGTGTATTTTTTTCTTTTTTTTTTTTTGATTTAACAAAATCACACTGTTCTCAAATTATCTTATAAAAGTAGCTTTTCTGATGTACAACATGTCAGGGAGCTTTAAGGGATTTGAGTAAACGTCTAACTGAAATGATAATGTCATGTTTGCATATCATATTCTTTTTATCATTATCTAATTTATCTACATAATAAATAACGTACCACATTGATTCTCCACTAAACATTCAAATTTGGCTGTAAGTAATAGTGAATAATTGACATTTGCGAATAGTTACCAAGACACCTTTTTTAATTGGTACAACTCCTGTATAACATTGAACACATACTGGTTCTTTTAACATTTCGCCAAAAAACTTGTAATATTTCCTGAAATTAAGTTACCAAGAATTCGAGATTTGTACAAAAACAGATACGTTACCATTTTTCCAATTGCTTTCAGAGACTAGATAGAAATAATTAGCATGAATATACACGATTTAGAAATTTATTATAATTCTTTCAGCATTATAGCACCAGTATATATTACAAAATATTATGCATTAATATGCATTTTAAAAAAATCTACGTCTAAGAATAGCGTGTGAACTTAAGCTGATGAAAATGTTACTTTTTTATCAGACTTGTTTATTTCAAATACATGAATTACTTATAAAAGCATTTTAGGTCAATGAAAATACTGATGTTCCATACTTATCTATTGACACAATGTAGCTCGGATTTACTTAACAGTATAAATGTATTCCGCTAAGTGAAAACAAATATTAAATCATAGTAACGTATCTGTTTCTATGAACAAAATAATGAAAAATCCTGAAGACATAGATAAATATCCATAAAGTGTTTTAAACAACTGACCAATAAATAATATGTCTGAACCAGTACTTTTAATATTAAACAGAACACACAATACCATTTAAAGTTTTTTTTAGGTTTTATTGTTTTATGTGTAGCTTCAAATAGTCAAATAACATTGTGACTTTAAGAAACAGGTTGAACTTAACAAGAACATTTGAATAAAGACATTCATCTATTAGAATATTTATTAGCTAGATTTATGTGAGTGTTTCATAGACTAGTGTGAATTGACATTCTGTTGTCTTTTTGGTTCATCTGCTGTTCAATTGTCTTTATTTTTTCTATATACCTTTTCTTTATATACTGGTACAATCTCGATCCTTGATTTTGTCATACTTCGTGATATGAGTAAGCCTACATGTATATGCTTATCTACATTTAACAAAATTATATCAGGAACAATGGTACCGCTTAAAATAAACAACTTAGTAATAATGAATCCATATATATGTGCACCTCCAATATTTTGAGCTATATCCAATTAGTCCATTCCTACCATAGACAGACTATCTTGATACGACCCTGACTAAAATTTAGAAACTAACGGGCATTTCATTTAAAAATAATTTAATATGTTTTTTTTTTTTTCATAAAGTTACGGTGCTGTTATATATTGCCTAACCATATATTACTTATTTAAACCAAAGTTTTGTTGAAGATTTAGTTATATAATATTAAACAGTTCTCAATTTCTCTTTATAAACAGATACGCTACTATGATAAACATATACGTTACCAGAAGTTATACAGTCCTCTTTACATTTTATTTTTAATACAAATTTTGCAAACCAAAAAGATATCAACATATATTTATTCCAGGAAATAAAACAGTAAATCTTTAGATGTTTCTTTCCTGTTTTTTAACATTTTATTGTCTAGAAAACTCAACTAATCCTTGAATTTAAAATCACTGATTCACATTTTCAGTTTTCCAATAAAATCGAGATCAAAGCATCATTTATTCGGCTACATGTACGTTATGCTGTGATTTTTTTTACATGAAACCATTTCAAAATTGAGCAAAATCGTCAATTTAAGATTCAAACAAAAATATTGGTAACGTATCTGTTTTGGTAACGTATCTGTTGGTCAAAAAACTAAAATATATCAGATATACACATATGTTTGCAAAGTATATTAAGATATCAAGTTTTGTAAAGCCTATTTTGAATAATGCATAAATGCGGATCCTACTTTTAAGTGCTTTGCTAATAGTAAATGTTTCTCTCAGTGGGGGATATCATGGTAAGTTATCTGTTTCACTTAAAGTATTAAATCCAAATTGCCTCATCATTGCAAAGTCATTTGTGGTTCTAGCATGTATATTGTCGTCAAAATTATTTTTAATAATGAAATATGATAAAACTTGAGTTCAATAGCAAAACTATTAATAATGTTACAAGTTCATATTACTCTTAACTCAGGTTTACCTGAAGTGTGGTAACGTATCTGTTCAATATATGAGGGACATGCATTTCAGCTGGTAACTTTTTTCAAATTTCACTGTAGAAAACAATAAAAATCGCTCACTTAGACATTTAAACTAAACTTTAATACTTAAAGCAGTTTTTCTTCAACACATGTTTTAGGGTTATTATGTAAAACCAACATAATATGGGACCCAAGCCTGGGGACATTACATAATGGGTTAACAGCACCTTTGCATGATAATATTTTCGTATAAATCCGACAGACTAGAGATAATTAATTTGAATGCTTTACATACATGACCATGTAATGAAGCAATGGAATGCCCAAAAAGTATTTTTCAACTGCAGTGCAACAAAATATACTCGAGGGACAGAATATTTTCTAATTTGCACGTTTAGTGGAGAATCAATGACCAATGAGCCAGTCTATAGTCGATGTTCTTAAACTTAACCGTTGAAAGAGGTTACAACTGAGGCAGTGTCACTTACTTCATTTCCTCCGCCTATGTTGAAGTTCAGCTCCGCCTTAAATTGTCGCAAAAATTTAAAATGATGCTCCTTATGCTAGCATTTAGTCTTCGTTGACGGGACAGAAGGGAACCAGGACAACTTTGATCAATATCACTTGTCGAATCATTAAATTACAAGTCACAAAGTCACAAAGCCTAAACCACGCCCATTATAAGAGAGGCGGTTCTTCCGCAACCGTAAACTCGTTACGATACGGCCAGTAAGGTGAGATCACTGCAGAACAGTTCGTCCTCAAAATCATTCGAACATTATACAATTCGTACCAATATCTAAATGGATATATTCTCGGCACATACTGTCTTGAATTCATTTTAAGTATACCAATCATTATAATTTTACTTGTTATCCAATTTATTTTGCTTCGACAAGACGTTTCAATCTTTGTCGCAACAGAAACACATTTTAAAAGTTCAGACATGGCATTACTTTGTTAATTTATGCATTAGATTAGATACTTTTTCACAAAAATATGCAACTTTATTATTAAACAACGAGCACATACCACGACCATGGAGAAAAAATTGATTTGTGCTTCGGATATTGAACTGTAATAGAGAACGATTTTTAATGCTGATTGACTGTTCACATAATTTTGCGGCGTCTTTGATGTGCAGCATCAACATTTAACTTGTATACACTTTTACTATGTATACATAGATGCCACAAAACAAATATCCATGAAGAACACCATTAGATTCGTACAGACAGATCAAAAACAGTTTCAGATTAGTAACGATCATTTTAAAAATCTTATTTTGATATTGCTGAAGTTTTTTAAAGCCAGATTATCAAGGTCATGGCTATCAACTACAGCTCAGGAATTCATTTCTCGAAAATATTTGTATGTTTGTAACGTGAAATGTTATATCACATATTGTAAGATATATCATGATTTTCTACAGTCTGGTCTAGGTGGAAGTCTGTGGATGGCTATTGGAGTTGTTGTTGACATTTTGTTGTTTCCCACTCTCTCTATTTACTTGAAGACACGAGCACCGGGAGCTAAAACATTCCCCCAGGTATATCTTTAATATGTAATATGTTTAAATTAAAATATATATTGCCATTAGGAAATCATGTCTCTCTATTTGCGTCTAACTCTCTTAGTCGCATTCAACAAAAATTAGGTTGCCCCATACATGCTTCCGGACCGGCTACAGAAAAATCGAAATTCAGTAAAGTTCAGATTTATAGGTTCATATTTTACCAAAATTTATTAAATTTATCCGTTTTGTTTGAGAAAAGTGAAAAATCACAGTTATTCGTCAGATTAATTTATCCCATGCACTGATTTTAATATTTACTACAAGCACTATTGAACAATATTCACTTAACACTTTCCAATGTTTGTCTTTTTATAATCTATTCATTTCTCTATGATCGTGTAATATACACCTGGAAATAACTTAAAATTAAGCACACCCCAGAAATTTAAAATTGGTTGTGATTTAAACCACTGTCATGAGATGACAAATTAACTGAGCTAAGAAATACGAATTTGATAAGTACGAGGGTTGTCCCAATATTCTGTGACAAGATTGATTAAAAGCTAAATAAAAGAGGTACGAATTTGATATTTTAATATGTTATAAACCCATATAATTTAAACATTTTCACAAATTTTCAGAGATAAATATCAACAAACAACAAAAATATGCAATAAAAACCATGGCAACTAACTGAATCCCGGCGCACGTCCAACGTCAAAGACAGCGTTAAATCTATATAAGGCGCCTTTCTCAAATACTCTTAATGGCTTTCAACGCAATAATGGTACCCATAAATCGTCAATTTCTGACTTAAATCGTGTGGTTGTTAATATCTGTTGAATATTTGGATGGCATACATTAATTTTTGCTATACGCGAACTGCCGGTCTCGTTACTCTCTTTTTTTAGCTGTAGGAAATAGGCGACGAAGATCGGTCTTCCTATCCGTGTTTTGCTTATTTTCGCTTTTTGTAGCGCAAAACTCTGGTTCCGTTCATGCCTTTTGTACACAAATGCTCAGAATATGTTGCTTAACTGTTATATTTGGTATATTTGTTGAAAATCGTTACATGTGTCATCTCGAAATAGTCATGAAACCTGAGTGACCTGTTCACTGCGCCGCAAATTCTTCGAACGTCGCCATTTTAACTTTCCTATTTTATATGAGATATTTTCATTTATTCGTATCTTTTTCGTTTTTTAAGTTATTTAAATAAAATTTTCAGAGATGATTTAAACATAGCAGCAGAGGATGTCAACGTGACATTGTGCAGACACATCATCAGATATTTGAAATATACGTAATTAATTTCAGCCTATTCATAACAAAATGTAAATTATTTGACGTGCGCCGGCAACTCAAACCAATGTCGTTAATACTGAAAATTTCTAAGTAACTAGGGTAAATTTTTTGTGAATGATTTGTTGTAATGTTAAATAATAAACTTAACGGTTATATGCGTGAATTATTTTCTGTTGGCGTTAAAAATGAACCGGCTATAAAATTTGTCACGGACTTTTGGGACAACCCTCGTATACTTATTCCTCACACCAGGCATTTTGCCTCAATTTTGACATGATCACAAATGAAATTCTAAATGTTATTTGGGCAATGGTACGAACCACTACCTGTTGACAACCTGCAACAACTGGAACAAGCTCTGCACCAAGAAAAGCAACAACATTTACCTTAAAATCGCATTAGACGCCTAACTGGTAATTTGAGAAGGGTTGAGGCTATCAGTCGGGCACGTGGCAGTTACGCACGTTATCAAAAATTTGGCTACATAGTGTCATTTTAGGTAACATAAATTAAGTGGTTTATGATTACTTAATTGGTATCGCTACTTATCTCATTACTATTTCTTAGCTCAATTTAGTCGTCATGTCATGACAGGGATTTCAATGACAACCAATTTTAAATTTCCAGAGTGTGCTTAACTTATTTCCAGTTGTATGAAATAATGTGCAATACATAAACTTAAAACTAATCAAAACGAGATATGGTCATAAAATATTATTTTATTATGCACACAAACACGCGCGAACACGCAAGTATGTGCAAGTTTCCTAGTAACGCTCATACACAGCACCGGACATTTTACATGTCTCCGAGTAACGCTCATACACAAAATGCATACATTTTAACATGTTTCCAAGTAACGCTCATAACACACCACACACACATTTTTACATGTGACCGTGTAACGCTCATACACACCACACATACATTTTTATATGTTTCCGAGTAACGCTCATAACATAGCGTACATACATCGCATCAACACATTTAAGGTCATATGGCGACTTTGCAGATTACTGGTGGAAAAAGACCCTAGGTACCCCATTGTGAACTATTTGTGGCACAAACGGGCACATAAGTAACACCAACGACGTTCCGTTCATCCACATTGTATTTTGCATAGCGGTTTCTTCAATAACTGCTCGGTTAACGATTTTTATATTTATTTTAAAGATCGTTTTAAGTACTCTTCTCTCTTTTATGATAATGTGTTTTAATGACACTATAACGCTTGAGTGATCCGATATATAAATCAGTTTTCAAATTTATATTAACATGCATGATTTCTTAATGTTTCTGAAATTAAAAAGGCGACGAAAGGTTTGTCATGCAAATGATAAGTGAACTTTAATTTTATACTAGTATGCGATTTTTATTCTTAAAATAAGAAAACGCGCGTTGTTTTTCGATGATATCCTTAAGTTTTTGGTTATCATTTCTACCATTCTTTTTATCTTACTCTATATCTTAAACAGAGTTGGCATCGCCTCCTATCATATTATTTGCTCTTCATTTTCAGAAATATATTTATCCAACTATTCAAAAATGCCATGGTTTAATACTTTGTAAAATTCATTATTGTATATGTAGTCATTGTTTGAATTCAATTGCAATTTATCTTCCACAAATTATTTCTATAAATGATATATAATTTTGCCCTTAAAGCCCTTTGGGACTGAATTGTCTGAATGTTCGTCTTCTGCCTTGCTTCGTCGGGCCCTATTTTCTTGTTGCTCTGTCTTCCTTTAGGACATTGAGTACTTTTGTTATGGTCATTGGGTTTACTTTTATATGTTTCTACATGATCATTTTGGTGTTTTACTTATTTAACCTTTTGTAACCATAACAACTGTTAGAATTTCACTTGGCGGGGATTCATTTTATTTACACTGTCTCGTTTATAGGAACATGGTGGTGCTAAGAGCGAGGTTTGGTGCACCATTAACCGGTTTAAACTCCCCAGCAGTCATTATTATGCTGCTGACCGTTCAAAAGGCAGCGCCCCTCTGTGCTCCTCAGATGTATGTCTTTGTTGTTTCATACTGTTTTGGTAACACTTTTGCTTGTGTCCCTTGTTGTTTTCTCGTCTACGGTAAGTATCTTCCCCTTTGCCCCTAGTTTTTATTTCTTTGATTAACCCACCTCCCCCTTCCCCCCGTCTCCTGTCCCCTTCCCCTATATCCTTTAACTCTGTGGGCCTATTATTCAATCATTTATTTGTTTTCTTTGAATTCCTTATCAGTTACAAATTATCTATCATTTTAGTGATTAACCTGACCGTGCTCTGTCTTGTGCCCAGTCCTGTTTTTTGTTGGGGTCCGCCTGGGCTCCTTGCCATTGGTACTTGTTGCTGGGTCGTATGGGGGTTGCTTTCATTGAACGCCGCCTTTCCTTGTTGATCTTGTTTATCATATTTTGTAATATAGTACTATAAGATTTTTATTATCTCAGCTAGAGATGTTTTTGCATATATTATATTGCTATCAGATATGTATTACCTCTACTAGAGATGTTTCTGCATACATTATTGTAATATCATACATTCATTTTTATGTATCGCATTGTTCCTTTATTAGCTGTTGATAATGATAAGAGATATAAACTAACAAAATAACAAACAGCTTCCATCAAGATTTAGATATTAAAAAGTGTCCTGCTTTAGTAAATTATATATATGTTCAATATCTATGCATAACGGACAGTTTTATCATTCTAAGGAAAAATATTACGCCAACAAGTTGTATATTGTGCGGAAAGGAAAAGTTGAAGGAATTGTGTGCTGAAGGAAACAATCTGTGTCATTGTCCATCTTCTATTGGTTGTAAAGCATGTGAATTAGATATTGAAATCCGAGCTAGAGACGGTATTGACAATGTTGTTTATTCTTGTTCAACTCATGGTAAATACAGACAGTATGAAGATGGACTTATTCGATATAAAGTTAGTTATCATAGCAACAAGTTCTTTATTCTTACATGTTTGTGGCTACAATGCAAATACATATCAGAGGTGTTGAATTGCTGTCTTATACGGTATCAGAAAGTCATTCTGGCATTGTTTTATGTATTTTAACTCCCTGGCGACATCTTTATTTAATTAAGAATTGGTAAAGTACTAAAAGAGATTGTTGCGACAGTTAGATTTATATCTTAAACTTACGTATAAATTATCACTTTTTAAGAAAAGGGAAAATAAAGAAATTAAAAAAGTATATTTTAGATATGATTTGCTATTTTACACCTGCTATTAATATGATAGGTTAGAACTGTTTTTGACATGAGTTGCTATTTTTAAATTGGTATTTGATATGTATTGATATTCAAGGACTTATGTAAGTTGCTATTTTAAGGTGGTGGTTTAAGATACGAGTTGTTAATTTTAAGCTGCTTTTTATAAGAGTTGTTATTTTAAAACTGGCATTTGATATTCAAGGACCTATGTAAGTTGCTTTTTAAGGGTGGTATAAGATACGAGTTGTTAATTTGATATTAGTTCTTTGGAGCTGGTATATGATGTAAACTGATATTTCAGATGATGCTTAATATGACACCGATTCTATTTAGAAGTGATGATATAGTATGCTGTTTCAAAGTTTATTTTAATAATATAGTGTTTTTATAATTATAAGAGAAAAGATAGGCGGGTTTTTCAGAGCTGGTATATGATTTCAGAGCTGGTGTATGATATGGGTCTCAAAAGGTATAGTACCATATGGTTTGCTCGTGTCTGAAACGTGTATGAACGTAAATTGGGCAACACTAAGCACCCAGATTCTAACGAGTCCCTTCCTATGGCCACTGTTTTTGACAATTACTTGGTCAAAGGCAACATCGCAAGGTGTCATAGCAGGTAAGCCATATTTTGTGTTTATACAAGCGTAATTCCTTTAGATTTATCAAATAAAATTATATTTTGTTGTAAAATGTAGAGAAAAAAATAAATTGTTATAATAAAATTTGTTAACTGGTCTCAACTTGGACAATTCCCGTCGACGTTCGGCATCTTTCGGAAACACAGAAATGTGAAAACATTACAGACAGAAGTATTCCATCATTATTATTTGACATACAAGTATTAGTATTTCCAAAATTGCTAGGAATCGCGGTACAGTCGGGTTATTCAATTTTATTTAAACAAATCTTGTTTATTGTATAGATCGCTCTCAAGGGCCGGTGACAATCACAAACACTAGTCGTTTAATAAAATATATGAAATACGGAAACGGATTTTCGTTTTTCTTCAATCGAAAACGCATGTATTTTCACTAGATAAGTTAAAAGTATATAATAAAACAAGTTATATATCAGGCGGTATTATTGAAACAATGTGTTCTATTGCGGGTTTGCTAGCAATGGGGTCAACATATGAAGGTGGACTCAGTATTTTGTACGTTAACTCGGCGGAATCTTACACTATTTTAGTTGCTATATTAAGCGGTTTCGTTGTCAGCTGTTTTGTTTGTGTCGGTGTCTCTCTCTATACACATGAAATACGCTGTGACGCCGATGCCGACAGGGAATGGGCCAAAACTATCAACATAGATAATCCATTGAACCCATTCCGTCAAGTATACGAGAAAGAACTAAAAGCGGTGAATGCAGGAACTTATATTACAGCCAGTACTATGGACATTGTGTTCAAAAAAGCGAAATTATATGCTGCAGTTGGTGGTGTAATCAGTTTGGTGATTTTTGTGATTATTATTCCAGCGATTACATTAAGTTTCGAGGTTCTGAATTTTGACCAGTTCTCATCATGGTTAAAAACGTTTCAGATTTACTGTTTTATTTGTACAGTAATAGTTGTTGTGTTGCCGCCAGTAGAAGAATGCTTACAAATATGGCGGAAATATAAGAGAAATGTTGAAAGCGTTGACAAAAAAATGGAAAACTGTGTTCAAAATGATATGACTCAAACTGTTTCAGAAAGATTATAAAATACTGGTCCATCATCTTACTATTTTCGTTTTGCAAACTCGACTGTTCACGATGTCGTGTATGATAATTAAACTAATAAGCTCTAACAACAAGTTTTGTTAATGGTTAGCTTACTGTACACAATGTGCTAATGGTAAGCTATTGTTATGCCCCTGTGTCCGGCGTCGGTCGTCTGTCGTTCACATTTTTTTCTTACAAGGGGGTTAAACCATGCGCGCGCATCCTTTAAATTCTGATACCGCGAACACTTTTTCAAGAGAGATTTTGAACAAGAACGAGTCATGTAAAGCAATCAGAATAGATTTGAATTTAACTTCTTTTGCAAAGAATGTACTAACTTCTAGTTTTAATATTCTAAATGCCTTGACACAAGTCTTCCCTTTCTTGTCAGTATTTCGCGTTGAATGTGATTTTGATTCTAGATACTGCGTACACCTACACATTTAGTGCTTCGCGCCCACAGGCGCGGAGCTATTTGTGTTTACTTTTTTTTTGTCCATGGGCCCGGATTTGAGCAATAAATCCTTTCGATTAACAGCTAAAAGGAAATCCGCATTCAAGAATTCCTTTCGATTTCCATATTGGTTTCCCCGGCGGTGATTTGCAGCATGTCATATTAATCAATGAGAACCGGAAAGCAGTTCTGCTGTGACATAAATTCGAAAGCTTTAAATAGCTATAAATGTTTTGAGTTATAAATTTGTTATTTCCCTTTTTCAGTAGTACATGAAATAATAATTTGTTACATTTTGAAATGCATTTACACACAGCAAATCAAGTATACTTTTAGTGATTGAATTTGTCAATATAAAGAAGATTTCATGCAAAAGATTTTAACAATTTTGCTTTTGATAATTATTTTTAATTCATATTTATTAAATTAAATGTTTAATAATAACATGTTGATATATTGGTTGTTTTGAAATAATTGAACTTTAGTATATAAGGTTACATTTCAGTAGCGTCATTCGTACAGCATACCACTTTGTGATATTGGTACGACTGGTGACATGTTCGGGGGTCCGTACTCGACAGCGAAAGCTGCATTTTGTAGCCTTACGAGCGGATCGACCCTCATTAAGGGGATTCCGTTTGTCAGCCAAGTTTGTTTTCACAAAGTATGTGCAAAGTGAAAGTAGGCCAAAATTCATATAACAACAAAGCTCACATTATTATATGATGAGCCATTTGCAAGTACACTTCCAATTCTATGTTTTAAAGACTATTTTAAACAAAAATAAAAATGATAACAATAAGAAATTTACCTTGAATGGGCTACATTTCTGAAGACCAAAAACATCCTGTTGCAAATCTTTATGCACATTTCATGAATGGCAAAATCCAGTTTAAAGTATATTTTAGTGCAAACAAATGTATTTTCAAATGGTTCATCATTTTACAATAAGAGCTTTATTGTTATATGAATTTTGGCCTACTTTCACTTTGGACAGACTTTAGTTAAAACAAACATGGCTGACAAAGCGGAATCACCTTAAGCATAGGCTATAGATAGATATCATGACAACATCAGAAACTTTGATCTGCAATTAAAACATGAAGTGTAATGTTTTTATGAATGATTTGAAAGCAATTCAAGAAAAAAAAATATATTGATCTCCCTAAAAAATAATTAACAATAGTTTTTTATATATTACCGATGTCAAATAGCTTTCATATTTTTGTCTCGCACGAATATGATATTAGTGAATTTCCTTATACCTTCCTAAAATTCAGGTAACAGTCTTCTATTATATTGATAAATACTGTCTCATCATGTAACGCGTGTTTAACAAACAAAAAAATCCTGAATTTGGTCTTTTGGAAATTCATCCCATTTCTTTATTCCAGAGTGTGTTCTACTTTCAGTATTGAAAGAAACCATTTTTATAATTTGGCGTGCAAAATATGTATGTAATATTACTATATTATAATATTAGTCCCTTTTGTTACTATTTGTATATTTGTTACAATTATAACAGACTTTGATATTTCTATCATCTATCTTCTGTTACTGAAACAGAACACAGTACAGTCATGTCACATAACATTTACAAGTCTTGTAAGTCTTGTTTGTATTAAATGGAATTACTTTCCTTACCAGGTAGGCATCAGTGAAAGCATTTACTATATTTAATATTTTTCCCCTCTTTTTAATTATGGACAGTGAGTTAACAAACTTAATGAAACATTTTAACTCAAACCATTTTTAGGATGTACATTTTAAACATTTTAAGGGAGCATACTTTATCACAGGATTTGAATCTTATTTTTTATTTTAATCATTAAATGGAATTAATTTTGAATGAGTGTGTACAGATTTAGATTACGTCCCTTGGTAATGGCGACTCTTTTTCAATAACAATTGCTTTATAAACTAAATGGGAATTTCAATTCAACTATGGAAAGCTCGAATTGAATGTTTTGTTCAACCTAAGAAATGCGTGTGAACAGTTTAAATATTCAGTCATCATTCGAATTAAATAATAGAAGTTATCAATGAGAATTGCCACATGACTGCTATAACTGCTATTCCTTCTTATCTGCCGATGCCCTGTGCCTTCTCAACGACGTGCACATGGGGGCATGGGGGGGGGGTAACTAGAAGATTGATTGGTCAAAATAATTAATATCAAGTTATAAACTAATCGAATAATTTCAATCAAGTCAACCAATTAGACATATATACAGAGATAATAAAACCGAAAAGCCAATAAAATTAACTTTAACAAAAAAGTAGGGGAGAAGCCAAAAGTGCATTAAACGGTAACAACTTACATTATGAAAATGATTACTTAAATTCCACCCTGCCACATTTATCCTTCCTTAAAATAAGAAATCCTGTGTAATATGAAAATTAAATCTTAACATAAAATGCAAGAATCCTACTTAATTAAGAAACTTTTAAATTTTGAAACAAAAGCTTAATTTGGAAATAATGTAAGAAATGAAAACTAAAAAAAATGTCTATCATAAATAAACATCGACACATAACAATGTCAACATAATTATACAACAAGCAACATCATGCATAGTAAACAGAAACATCATACTGGCAACGCACCAATTTTAATGTGCTTTTATATATATATAATATACATATATATATACACTATAGATCCTGTTGGTAAAATATCTTCCTTAACACCATTTTAGGAATCAAACAAGTATTAAATCGTATTGTAAATTTATCTATGACATTTCCAATATCATATTTTATTCCCTCAGATGTACTATGTTAAACACAATAAATACAAGTATTTTGCAGCAGAAGATTCTACAATCACAATGTATATCAAATTAAACAGAAATTTCAAAGAACGGATTAAAATATATTACAGAAATAATTGATGATGAAAATCAAATTATGTTTATAAGTGTCATCACATTATCTAATCACATCACATTATTTCATGCATACAACTGTGCATTTCATTTATTAAGGAAACAATGATCATATCATATTCAAAAATGAAGAACTAGATCCTTATCTAGCAAATATTGAAGTAAGCTCTAAAGTACATTTGAATTTAGATATTGTATTTTCCCTTCACAATCCATTTTTGTGCATAAGACTAAGTCTGAGATATAGATTATCATGGTAAAGTAATATTTCACACTTTTACTCGTAAGCCTGCATATTTATCTCACACTTAAGGTAGCTCGCTACTTTCCGACCGAAATGTTTTTTTTAAAAGTCCTGTCAGATGCCTGCAATTCGATGAATATCTTCAATTATATACATGTACAACAAATCAGGGTAAAACTGTCAGCAAAAGTTGGTATCAATCTCTGAAAAACTGCAACGAATGGATATAAATACCTCGAGGACTGAAAGACAATTCAAAATATTGAAAGATATAATTAAAAGGCCACCTAAGTGGAAATTTTAAAAACATAAATTTTGCAAAGAATATCAGAAAAAAAGAATGAGAAGGCTGGTGCAGTCGCAATGTCATCATGTTATGTGTATCTCGGTACAACATAAACTTCCATGTTATCATATGTAACAATTTTGAATTGTATATATCAGTTAGTAGGAACAGAGACATAGATAACATCTATGTCTCTGGTAGGAAATGAATCAAATTTACGTTTCAAAAATATATGATCAACTGGAAGTAGCAACGATATGTACGTAAGTCATGATTCACTGGTAGTCTTAATTATGTTATAAAATCTAGCAGACATTTAATTCAAAATTTTCTACACGTAAAAAAATTTATTTATTAACAGCCATCAGTTATTCTATTTTCTCTCGCAGCTAAATACCCTGCAGTAAGCGTGAGACTCATATTTAAAGCAGGAATCACGCTCTCATGCTATGGCTTTAATTTTTCACGTATTTCTCATAATTACAGATATTTGGCGTCCGCGCCGAAGCGCGGCGCCTTTTATGGAATGAAATCAGATTTTGTGAAAGGGCGACAGCAACTTCTCGAGCCTTTTGTAGTTGTTCATAATAAAAGCCGATCATTCCGATCGGTATGAGGGTGCTTGATTATTAATTAATCGCGATATGTACAATGAATGGCGAACTGGAGAATTTCGCAATGCAAACATGTTCAAATGAAATAACCTTTTCCGTCAATAAATCGCGCTCTTCGGGGTATTTTTGTTTATCATTTTGTAGTACACAGTGGGTTATTATTGTATGTTATTCCGAAAGCTGTTAATAGAATGATGAGTTGATGACCTTAATATTCCGAAAATCTATTTATAGAGGGATGAACTCCTATCGGTAATTCCCGGTCTCTCCCGGGATTTACTAGTGACCGGCGAATGGTACCACACGTTTATTGTCCGGTCTCTCCCGGTTTTTGATTAGATGTTTGATATTGTTACAGAACATAACAAATATTTTACAGATAAATAAGCTTTTTTTTTTTCAAAATGAATGTTTGTCACTTAGTTAGGTTACAATAATTAATAAACACAGATCAACTTTCCAATTTATTGATTGTTATTATTATACATAAACATACAATTCGAAAAAAAAACCAACAACACAAATCGCATGTTTTATTTTATCTATATGAGATAAAAACAATAAATATGTACAATAATTGAGAAAAAATGTACCAATTTTTATGGCATTAATATGACACTATCAACTTTGAAACTTTGAAACATTTTATTTAATTTGTTATTCGTGTTTAGTAAAGATGCCGAGGAATTATCAAAGTTACAAATCAGATTTTATGAATTATTCAATTGATTGATAATTTAAAAAATGATAA